ACGTTCAGAGACGTCCGTGTCATTCGGCATTACGTAATTTTCCCGCAGGATGATCGCGTACAGGGTGATCCGCAGCGATGGGCAGAGGGATTTGTTTTTAATTTCAAATATAAATGACTGCAGTCATGGCCGTGGGTGTATTTTCACAGGAGACTGATCAGCATTTACATGAATCGCTGGCATATTTAAGTATACTTAAAATGATCTCTCTTCCAATGTCATTTTATCTTACCTGTTAACATAATTTTAGAGCCGCATTGACCAAGTCTAGAATGCATCTGATCCTACCTTAAAAGCCAAGCCCGGGTTGAGCCTGGAAATTATGGGGGGAGTAAACAAGCCAGCAGTAGCAGATGTTGCAGCAGAAGCCATTCTATACCTACCTACCAACCACCCCTTTGCCCACCTTCAACGTGCACCGACCAGCGTGGTGAAGTATGGTCAAACAAACCTCACTGCACGTTGTGACGGGGGGGGGGGAGTCCCCCCTTATCCACCAGTGGATCGACGAACGGGCTGTCCATGTGCAACATGGTGTTGGCTTGTTGCGCCACCGTACAAACGTGTTTGCACATCGTGCTTTGAAGCGCTTGCCTGATGGTGGATTCCATGCGTGGTTGCGTTGGGTGGCCAGCAGGTGGCGCTCGTGAACCGATCCGGGCTCCGACGAGCGATGCTCGAGTAGAGCCGAGTTATTTTTTTTCCTCAATGTAAACAAAACTAAGGGGTTTTTATTTTACCAGGTGAGGCTCCCCCTGAGCTTAGCTTTTTTTTAAAGAATCGACCTGGCTTGCACAAATGATAGCTCAACGAAGTGGCTTATTGTGTGGACATGTATAGCATCCAAATACTCAACGCATGCTGACTGTAAATGTGGAGGGAAACATCCACGCGACCACGAAGAGAGAACGCGCACACTCCAATTATACAGGCGTCAGGGTCTGTAGCGAACCCACAACCTGTATACCAGGCGAGGCCGTTAACATCTCGCCACCGTGGTTACCTAATTCATGTAATCGAGTACAAATTATCAATGGAATTACTGGACGAATAACGCGAACGGGTTTGGGGAAAAAAAAAGTCATCGCTCTTCTCACATGTGCCGCCGGACAGGGGAGGGGGGTGTGGGGACGGTCAGCAGAGCGAATCTCCAGTGGAAGTGAATTCCAGTCTTGGGGGGGGGGGATGCCATCCGAGGAACATGCCTAGTCACCTATCGTACAGCGACGTGATTTCGGCACACGGAGCAGGCCACACTCGAAAGACCGACGTTCTTGTTGGAAAACATGGACGCAAGGAGGAGGTGCTGCTGTACATGTGATTTGTTTACCTTTCCTATACTTGGGGCTCCTCTTGTGGTTTTTTGTATTGTAACGTTCTGACCTATCCCCTCCTGGACATGTGAAAAATAGCGTTATAGATTAGATCGGAATCTTCCAGTATAAATACATTCTGTGAGGGAGTGGCATCATTGAGTCTTGTGGGTGAGACTTGAACTCGAATCGAAACCTTCACTTCCGAGACACGTCGAGTCTCTTGATGCGCTTCTGCGGTCGTCTGGAACGCTCTTCCGATTTTATGAAACTATGGGATCTATGCACTTTTAAATTATACATTCAAAACCCATTTCTTTACAACTGCTTTGTGTTTGGCTTGTTGTGCTCTCGCAACTCCGAATAGCACGGTTGGCTATGTATGGTGTGAAAAAAGTTCAGTGTATATACACGGTAGTTTGTGACGGCATCGTCATCTGTCGCACTGGGTGTTGTAGCTTCTGAATAGAGGGCGGTGGGTACCACATTAGTAAGGCAGTATGTTTCGCTGGGAAAAATGTTTTTGGTGTTTGAGTAATCGGACACAGTAGTTAAGTTTTAGTTACTAATTGAGTTTTTTTTTACTTTTGAGAATTGGTGTCTCATGACAGATGATACCAATTGTAATTGAGTGCATTAATAACCGTGGATTATATAAATTACTCGTTTTAAGCATTCTAACGCAAAAAAAATCCAGTAACGTACTATATGAACTGCCCTAAAAGTATAATGGGTTTTGCATGTTACCCGTTTTTGTTAAATTTACTGGGCAGATTTCATACTGTCATTCCACATGGCAATGGCGAAAAATCAACAACACTTGTGCATGCTGTACTAATATGATGCTGTCAACAAGAATAAACCTCAATTCCGAACATCCCATGGCGGTTATTGCTGAACACCTGTCCCACGTCTATTCCAGGTTCCTCGATTTAATGAACAGTTTGTGTCAAACAAGCGTGGGACGTTGACACAGGGGATGGTCCAACGTCTCTCTCTCAAATTTATTCTTTCTCCGTGACTTTACAAAAAAGAGTAATTCCTGCAGTCGCGAAAGCTCCAAATCAAGTATGGTCCAACGTTCCATATTTTCTGAAAGCGCAAAATGGTTAATGAGGACCGAGGAGTGATAACGTAAGATGAAAATGCCGAGCAAAAAAATAACATACACACGCATAGCTGTGAAACCATGAGAAAAATAATATAAATTGGAGAATATTGCGAACAATGTGACCCAAGGTGGTATAAACAATAGGAGCATGACAGCAGTGAAAAAAAAAGATTGGTAATTGCAAATGTTAGCCCAGAGCAAGGCGGTATAATATCAATGATTGCTGTGTGGAGAAAGTCTTGTAAAACGACGGAGTGCTTTGAAAAAACTAAACTTCTGTAACAGAAAGCAACAGACCAAAAATGTGCCCCAAGGGTTTCAATCAAAAGAGCGTAGACACCCCACTTACCTGCTGTGACTTGTTCATTTCCTAACACCGATCCATGCTGTCGAGCCCACAAAGTCGACGCAATCTCACCGCTGCGTCGCGTTCAAGCGGAACGTGCTCAAGAAACCAAACTTTGTTGATGTCGTGAGCACGGACACCGACAAAGAATGCCCAAAACGAGAGAGCCGAACGAATAAAACGCGCGGAGAGACGGGCACGACGGGCATCGCAACCCAGAAACAACTCCAAGACGCGGATCAAGAGCCCCGGCACGCATGAAGACATCGTGCCAGGAGGGATGATGACCGACACAAAGCCGACGATCACAACGGCAACCACAGGATAACTTGCCTTTGGGGCAAGTGGGTTCTCAACCGGGGTGGGGTACGCAGACCCTCTGGGGGTACACGTGGCAATGTCTCAGGGGGGGGTGGGTGGGGGGGGTACGTAAGGGTAGGCCTCGGCAAGGTAAGGTAAAAGGTCAAAAGCAACGAGCCGACCTTTACCCTACCTTTTACCCTTACCCCATACAAATTACCCGATTACAGGGTAATTACTGGGGTACTACTACACATGAAAAAGGTTTGTAACAGGTAAATGCTAGGTAGAGCGCTTTATTCATATAGAATACGCCCGATGATTCAAATTTTAAATGGAGGCCACGGACTGCGACACGGAGCTTTTAGCGAGTGGTAAACAAGGTATTCATGGTAAACAAGGTATTTACCGGGAAATACTTCGCGCTACCTTTACCCTACCCTTTACCTTACCTCTCGGCATTGTGGGCACCTTTACCCTTTTACCCGGTAAAAAGGGTAAATTACCTTACCTTGCCGAGGCCTACGTAAGGGGATTTACAAATGTGTGAAATTACGCCATACACGATGAGTCACTGGTGAATAATCGTGTGCAAATATGCCAATATAAAATAACTATGATAAACTTTGAATCCGTAACGGTACCCTTGGATGGTGTAAAAGACCCCTCTAAAGACGTTGATCGTAAACAATGTTGATTTCCTAAGAGTAACCAGCCAGCGTGAACAACTTGCGTGACAGCAGGCAAGAGGGTCCTCCGTTGGATTTAGTTTCATCCGCTTGCGGTCACGAGCCAGTTAGGATACCTCACAAAAATGGACAATCGGTTAAAATATTGACGTTCATTAATTCACACATTCCTTTCTCAGCACCGTGTTGGGTCAGGCAATCGGGGTGAGGGTATTATACTCGGTTGAAACAAAATCCAACAAGGGGTAAAGTATCTTCTTTGGTTCTTTCGGTAAAGTCACGTAGAATGAGAATAAAATAATAAATTGATAAAATAAAATAACACAATAAAATTCTCACGACGTTAAAGTAGCCCCAAAAAAGTCTGAGAACCACTGCTGCTGCCTTAAAGGACAACCACCGGAGCTAGGGAGTAATACGATTTCACGTGCGCTAGCCGGATTGTGGCATTGCAGGACGATGGGAGTTGGATATGCCATGGGGGGTGGGGTTTTATCCAGCAGTAGATACACCATGGCCGCTCGATTATTTTAAGCACTTAAGTAGACTTACAATCTTGCCCGACACCCGCAAGCTTGACTAACGTTCACATCACGTTCACATCATTAATGGTTTCGTCTTTGGCAATTGGTTATACATGGGGGGGGAGCGGTCAGGCGAAGTGGTTATGAACCCGGCCAGCAGAGTTTCAATTCAAGACCGTGACTAATCCCATTTGCCAAGTTATCTCTGAAACATTCATTGGACACCTTCCCGTGCTTCATAAAATTAACCAAGTGAGTGGCGCGGTGATGTAAAAAAAAAGACCGACACGGCATGCGGAAACCGCATTCATCCAGCTGTGGACTGACAAAAGCGGCTGTAAATTATTAACCGGTTACACGTGGAGACACAAATGGTATGGGATGCTCACCCGTACTCTGTTGAAATCGGACCAGCACTCACCAAAGGGATTGAGCAAACGGAAGAGTGAATGGGCAATGATGCTGTGAATGTTTTAGTGCTCTTACTGACCAGGGGCTATGGTGTCGAGCGTAGTGGGAAATGGAGCAGACACACACTCTTGTAGAGCACTAAGTTCCCACATCCATGCTCCACGCCTTCAGCAACCCGCACTGATCGGAATATTGAAGTATGGGTCAGCCAACCCCCACGACCCACGAGGCACACGCGGAAGTCCTGATCCAGCAGTGCCACTCTCGACGAAGGCAGACGGAGCAAAACACCACCACGGCAACGGCAACAGTGATCAAGGACCAATTTTAATTTTCAAGTTTTAACGTTGCATTCCACCAGAAATAAATACAACACACGTTTGCCTTGTGAAAAATGACGACCTCGCAAGGCAACGAACGCGCTTGGCGCGCGACGAGGCGCAGCGTCGAGTAACTCGGCGCAGTCGTCCGGAGCCAAACGCATTGAAGATGTAGTCGTGAAGAAAGGGGGCGAACGTTGAGCAATGGGATATAATCGCTGGCAAGTTAAAGGTATTGTAGCCTAGTATCGCAACGCGATGCACTCCGGCAGCCAGGTGAACCACTCGCCGAACGCGAGATTACGACTCGTGAAAACGTAGTTCTTGCCGTAATAAGCAAGTGCCAATCCACACTTGCATGCGGCACCAGCGCCTGGGTTTGAAGAACGTTAAGACTCCCGTGTGGCGATAAAATGGTCACGTGAGCCGCGCTTTAACCGTGCGAGGTCAGGCAGACGCGCGAGACAGCTGTGCAAAATCAATCATTTGAATTCGTAGAGCGATTTAACCGCAACGCGCATCTCAACACGCCACACAGAAACAATCGGTGAATTTATTTCGCAGATAAATGCACAATGGATAGAGCGCCGCAGTTCCAACCCTCGCACTTAACGCCGGCCTCTTAATGTGCAGAACTTCGTGTCCGCTTGTCACCTGTTCATGTCGCACGCATTTCACAGCGTAGTCTTCGGCTGTTCATTAATTGGATTTCTCATTTTTGTGAAATAAAGGGTGTTCAAAGTTTCGCCGAAACAGAACATTGTTGAAATGGTTTAATTTAGGGATCGTACATTTGAAGCAAGTGCCTTCGGCATAAAACCGTTACAGACCGTCACGAGTATGTATCCGTACTTTGCCGAGTACTCCTGCGTAATTTTATATCCGCAGCTGCACTGTGTGGCTCTCCGATGTGTTTTCAGGTTGTACCGCGTGCTGTTTGGCACGCTGTCTGCAGGGGTTTCACTCCACGTGCATTGGAAGCTTCTAAAAGAGATACAGCCTAACCAATGAAATAACATCAGAGCTACCCTTTCCTTAGTCGTGAGACAGATCGCATTGCTGTACTCGGGTAACACAATCCAAATTGTTCCGCCACACGCTTTGCAATCCAACATCCAGAAGGCGGGTCAGTCTGGCGGCAAACATACTCGTTTAGCCACTTGGTACCGATCTGAGTAACCAGTATGCGTAGTTATTCACACACAGCCAACTCACATCTGTTGAATTTTCAGCATGACAAATAACCAGGAGGGGATCCCCCCCACACAGGTAGGTATGAAGAACTAATTTTCTCCACTGTCAGGGTTAACCTGAACTCCCCTAGCAAAGGAAACCTGGCCACCGATACCCTTTTTCCACTAGCACTGAGGAGCCGAGCCAGTGTGGTGGGAGGGGGGTGGGGAGGCCCTCGTGGTGTGGGCACTTTTCCACTGAATATTTGCCGTGCCGAGCCAAAAACCACACCGTGATATGCTGGGTCCCAACAGACGTGTGTGAATATGGTTCGGGGCCAGGCAGGGCCGGAGGGCGCCACTAACGACGGGTTCATTGCATCATCGTGTTGCATCACCACATCATCTGCATGAGTCTCGATACCGTACCTGTCAACCCATACGGTTTACCCGTCTTCTTGTATAAGGAAATTGAGTAAAACATTTTTTTGGCTATTTGTGTTTGTTTCTCCCTTGTGATGGGAATTTGTAGGATGAACGTTGAGAATTATAAGGGGCACGGGGTGACCAATAAGGTCTGGAATTGGTCTGTAATACGGTAGGGACTGATAAGGGGTTGACAGCTGTGCGATACGTTCACTGCGTGTGACGTCACCGGCACAGCTCGGCTTCTGCAAGTTGGGAAAAAGAAGAAAACCTGGTGACTCCAGACTGGCTTGGCAGAGCCCCAGCTGGTGCAGCTCGGTTGTGCAGTGGAGAAGCGCTATTCGAGTTGTTGTGCGACAATTAGTTGTGGGGGAAAAAAAAACCTTTTCCTTTTTTTTTACAGAGCAGATGGAAGCCATTTCGCCTTCGCGATGTAAAATACTTACAGCTCTTCACATGTATTTTTATGTTTTTATAAACTATACTTTATAGTTTGAAAAGTAGCCCAATATGAGTCTCCAAAATTAGTGTTACAATATTCTGCAGGCGTAACCTGCACAGCTCAGCGTTTTAATTATGAGATTAGGCTCTACTTTTTAATGAGTTCGGTCTCTGCCACGTAACGATACCGTTCACAGTTTACAGTCTTCTGCCCGGCAAGCATTGCAACTCCCTAACCGATGTCTACCTTTAACAAGACGAATGCCACCCAATGTTATGCAAAGCAAAAATTGCCTCGGATTAACATTAAGTATTTGTCCAACGAAAATACCTTCTAAACAAAAATCAACAAGCGGAAATCAAGGAGGCTGATAAATCACTATTGTTTACTATAAAATAGAGGTCTTTATTAACCATTGATAAATCACAGCCCTCTTTAGCGGGTGATGAAAACTCTCATGCTAATGGATATTTAATTAGGACTATTATTACTGTATTTAACGAACAAGACTCTCCGGTCTAATGTGTCGAGTCCCAAGGCCAGAGAAGGCCTACACGCTGATCCATTAAAGAATTTTAAAACATTCTACAACCAGCATTGCCACCTGCCCTGGTTTTCCCAGGATCGTCCTCTTGTAGAGGTAGCTGCTGTCCTGGAATCTCCCGAGTCTTTTATGGGGACGTTAAAAGTAGGATTTTTTTTGTCAGTCGGTTAATAATAAACCACTCAAGACCATGTATTAAGCATTCCCCCCCATCTTCTGGTACCGTGAGATATTCTACTCATGATGTGTCCTGGGTTTTTTTTTGTACCTCGGAGGTGGAAACCCTAGATCTAAACCAGGACACAGGCATTCATGTCACATCACAAATGTCACGTCCAGCGCTGGGGTATTTCAAGAGCTGACCGAACAGCTGTTTCAGGGCCACATGATGTAACAAGTCTACAGGCGAACTGTTTGTCAGGCTACGTTCAAATGCCTGTGCTGGAGTTGCTAAGCGTGTCCCCACTACGTTCCAACTGCCGAAGAAAGAATATTCCACTCTATGTTCAATTAGCCAAAATAAAGAACGGCTACAAACCACGGCGGAGCAGCCGTTCACAATCACCGTCGAGAAAGCAGACATGACGGTTTAACGCGGGGGGAAAAAAAGATTTGAATGTCGGGGTAACTGTCGTCATCATTAATTTCGTGCATGAATTACCGCGGCTGCTATCCCATAAATAATAATATCATCCGGTGCAGACCCATGGTGCTTGTTTATGCCTCTAGTGTCAGGAGACATAAATTCACTCCTCAAGCCAAAAGCCTGGCAAGTAAGCCCTTTCAGTCGGACTTCCGCATCACCAAGGTTTTTTCTTTCTCGACATCTACCTTTTCCAGTTTTAGACGGACCTTGCGTTTTCTGGCAAGCCACTCGGCATACACGTCGCGTTTAAAAGACATTTGAAATTTACACGGGAATTGTTTCGGAGCCTTGGAAAAACAGCTTTCTACAAAAAGCTGCTTCTTTACATAAATGTTCCACGTCATCATTAATGGCAGTGTTCAGGTTTCTTTACTTTTTACTAAATTCCTTTACTCTCCCACCGTGGCCACCGGGGGACCAGCCTTCCCCCCTGCCTCACTTACCACTAAACCGTTCCATCGCGATGTTTGTTACAGGGAGCTGCGTGTGGCCGGGGCGTGGACGATGAGCGGGACGAGTCGTTCGGAGAGACGCTCTCGATTGCGGGTCGGCAGGAGTAGCGGGCCGGCGGGACAGCGGGTTTTGACAGGAGAGAGCGTTGGGCAGAGGGATGGGCGATCATTTTTCCTTTTGCTCCAGGGCGTGACGCTGCTGCACACGCTTGGCGTAGCTCTGCGCCATCGAGTTCACGATGGACAGCACGAAGTAGCACACCATCACGATGATCACCTTCTCGAAGACCCATGACAGCCAGCTATCGCCCTGTGACGTGACACCCAACAAGAGCAAGGGGGCGGGGGGGGGTAAACGCACAGCTCTCCGATGCGGTTTTCTGGCTGTGGCGCGTTGTGTCGTTTGGCAACGATGTCCGACGTTTCGCTCAGCGTGCATGGCAGCACAACCGCGGAAGCCGGCGCACTAGGTATAGCACTCCGGTTCGCCATGCAACGACCTCAACGCAAACACAAGTGAACAACATTTTGTTGCGCTACTGCTTTGGCAGTGGAGCACAAGCAATAAAAACACAACACATCTCTCAAGAACACTGCCCGAAAGAGCAGAAAATATACAGCAGACCACATTTCAGGCAATGGCCCTTCTTCAGAGGAGGGCCCCTGTCCAAAACGTTGCCCATTATATATTTCGTTCCTCAGTAGGACACTGTTTTTGCGCAGTTTTAGCCTTAGGTGATCGCTAAAAGCACGTGCCCCAAGTCTATAAGACTATCCGCGGGGGATATTTATCTTTTTTACTTTGCAGTTGCTGGGACAGTGCACTATCACCCCGGCGACCTGGGTCTAATTCCCAGCCATGGATAATATCGGTGGCAAGTAGCATCCAGGTCAGTTCTGGAAACTTCCAGAGATACATTTAAAAAAATTGAATGTCAAAGCCAGCCGAGGATGGTGCTGGCCAGCCGGCCGCACCACCACCCAGTCTGCCACGCCAGCCTGAGCAGGTGCTCGCTAACAGCATTTGTCCCGTGAAAGTTTTGTACGGCTAAAACAGGGGGATCTTTGGCGTTGCGTTACCGTGGAGGAGGCGGTGCCGGGCTTGTGGTGCAGCTTGAGTCGCTGGGCTTCGAGGTAATCGCGGAACGGCTTCTGCAGCATCGGCCCCACCGACGGGACGGAGCTGCGACGGAAGGGGGAGAGAGAACAAGGGCAGGGGAGAGCGCACTCAGAAAAAAAAACAACAACACTGGAACTGAATTTTGATTTAAAGCTTTCGTGACTGCGGGGATTCATATTCTTGGTTCTTTCGGTAAAGTCACGTAGAAGGGAAACAATAAAATAATAAAAAACAATAAAATTCTCACGACGTTTCGACTGCAACACTTGCAACACTTTACCGAAAGAACCAAGAATATGAACACTGGAACTGTTCTTCCAAGATTCGGGTGTACGCTTCATACCATGGTTTCATTTTTCCACCGAATATTATTTGGGTCACATGTCAACTGGAGTTGGTGGTGGCATGTGACTGGTAGCCACAGCCATAGTGAGAGGTGTACTGGACGAAGTGTGGTCGATTTGGCCGATTTTCTACTGGGGTTCGGGACGTCAGTGGGCATGGCTCAGCGGCTTCTGCAGTGGGAAAAAAAACAACAACAACCCGGCGCCTCTTGAGCCATGGCAGTCTGGCACAGCATGGCATGGCTGTGGCTCGGTTGTACAGTGGAAAATAGGTGTATCAAGAAAACCCCAGGAGGACCTACCCGATCAGACCCACGATCTGCTCCACTATGTGCTTGCTGAAGCAGATGATCACAAAGAGTTTCTGTAAAACGCACAGAAGAAAAGGCAAGGAGCGTCGGTTAAACATCCGCGAGGAAACCGGCAGATCCCAACGCCACTGTCCACCTGGGTTCGAATCCAGCCAACCGCCTGCGAATGAACGGAGCTCTCAAGTGTAGCGAGTTTATGATCTCACCATTGCCAACCGATGACTGTACACAAAACACCGTCACGTTAAATTCGGTTTAACACATCCATGATAGAGCTTTTTTGGGTTAGATCGCGTAAATATATAAATGTGTCGTTAAAACCTGCCACCACCCGACACAGCCAACTAGTAAGGGTTGTCACGTTTCTAGTTTAATTTATTAGGTATAGCCCTGTGAGCCATGCGGCTCTTGAGTCGGGTGCAACCGCAACAAACTAAATATGAACAGAGAACATCTTAAAGCGACTACGCGCAACAGAAACATCCTGGATAAACCAGCAAACAGAACATGCCAATTCGTCACTAGTACAGCACACCGGTGTGTTGGAGAGCAAAGCCACAACATTTACAATATGAGTACGGCGTTTCGCCAGTAATTACAACTAGCTTCAACACACCGGTGTGCTGTACTGGACGTTAAATTCGGTTTGGCACTTAATTTGCCTACATCGCAGCTCCGGGAAATTCAAACATAGGTTTATTCATCAAATGACAAACATTGCTTTGCTTAGAATAGCGGCTGAGAAAGGGCTACATCCCCCCCCCCCCCCTCTGCTGTGTGGACCAGAGTTCACTTGAAGAGATTTCGGAGATATCTCTACAACGCCCGCTTCTGTGGGCCACTCTCAAACACAAACGGTTGCACTGCTTCCGTGCGAGATCAGAACAGTTACTTTGTCCCATGACGTTGACTCCGATAACACAGCTGGAGTCGTGCGTACGTCAGGTGTTAGTCGCAGAGCCAAATTAGGTTATAAAATATTTCCTACGAGTATTTTTTTTGCAGCCGTTCGAACAATACGAGCAGTTAGATGAGACTCTCCATGGCAGATGTTGAAGATCGTAAAAGTTGTAAGCCATCTGTCAACACAAAGTCATGGGGGATGACACAAGATTTATCAGACAGTCATTGGTGAGCGGGCTGAGACCATCAACTCACTACAATTGAGAACCCAGTTTTTTAAATCACGGGTGGGCTGTCTGGATTCGATCCCAGGATCTCAGCTGTGCCGACTCAGTGCCCGGACCCCGAGCCCCACACGACCACCTCACCTGTATGTGCATCTTGATGATGGCCTTGCCGATGAGCGTTGCTCCAAAGAACGTCCAGAAGGGGACCAGGAAGTGGCCGCAAGTGATGCCAGCCAGGTCGAACAGTGGGTTGGGAATCTGCAACGGGGCAGGGCCAGGGAAAAACAAACATTCTAATTACAAATCACCGGAGTAATGTGACTTATGCACAAATTACCGATGTAACCGTCTCTCTCGTGAGTGAGGTGCTGGGTACATTGTGAGACTGTGGCGAGGGCACGGGTCGGAGGAGCTGGGCGGGACCGTACCGAGGCGCATGCCAGGATGCCAAAGAATCCGACACGCTGCACCAGGTGCTGCATGGCCAGTTTGGCTCTCGTGCCCAGGTCCTGCACACAGCACACGGACATGCATACAAGACAAAGATGATCATCATCAGATATGATCGATTCACTGCTGGATGAAGGTCTCCCTCAAGTCATTGTCAATCAACTTAAGCTCCTGCATTTCGTTGCAGTAGGCGTTGTCTAGCAAGCAATTTTTTTTCACCAGGTAAGGCCCACTGACCGATACAGCTCTTTTTCAGAAGCGACCTGGCCTTAAATGATAGCTCAACGAAGTGGCTGATCATTTATTGCGGTCAAATAGTCTAAACGCATGTTTTTAAATGTAGAGGGAAAAACCAGAGGACTCGGAGAAAAATCCACGCGACCACGGGGAGAACATGCAAACTCCAAATATTACAGGCGTCAAGGTCGGGATGTGAAGTAATTAACATCTCGCCACCGCGTCCCTTGCCTACCAATTGGCCGCCGCTCCGGTCTTATTCTTGACCACCGGCCATCTTCCATTCTCGCGACGTGTCCTGCCCAAGCCCCACTTACTTTTCTGAACAATTAGAATGACGTATTCTAAACCTGCTCTACGTTGTCTAATCCCAGCGAGCAAGTGCCGTTAGCGAGCACCAACGTGGGTGTTAAGTATCCACTTTCCATGGATCATCTGTGTCCATCAGTCGGTTTAGTTTTGGATAGGCCCATTGAGCTAAGAAGCCGTTGTTCAAAGGTGACCCGGTATGTATGTGTGGGTGCATACATTCGTGATGTCGTAGTCATAATAATAATGATTCCCTGAGGCAGTATGATAACAGTGAGTGCACTGCTCAATTATTTTTTTGCCACCCAAGTTTGATTGCCTGCTACGGCTCAAACCAACGACGACACATATCTCAACCGTCTTCTGTGTGTGTGTAGACGTGCATGTGTTGGAAGCGATAGTGTCATGGTTAGCACCCTACGCTACGAATCTGGTCACCTGAGTTCGATTCCCGCTCACAGCCAATATCAGCGACAGGTATCTGAACCGGTCCGGAATCTCCCCTAGGTTAATTCAGCCTTAAACGAGTACGTGGTGGGCAGTGTGTAAATATCACCACTTGGGGAGACAAACACGGCCAGATAAGCTGCTAGACACACCTACCCAATGTGCACTGTTGCCAGCCTTCATTAGGTACTCGCTCACAGCATTTTCCCCAACAGTGTGTTCAGGCTATCGAGGGAGATCTTTGCCCTTTGTGCATGCAAGTTATTCGTGCGTGTATGGGCATATGCGTGGTACACGCTAGAGAAGAGATGGACTGATGTGGTACAGAAGGATGATGCGGAGCTGATTGGACGTACCGATAACTGGTACCTGCATTGTCTAGATCGGCCAATGTGGAGGATGTTCGTGAAGGACACTACCGTGCAGTTGGAGGCAGTCGTCCTCCAATAACTACGGAGGGCAGAGGAGCAGCACTCACGAGAACGGGCGGAGCGTCAGGCGGCTATTAGTCAGTTTACCAAAGGAACCTGCGTCTGTCCCGTGACCTCTACTGGCGAGCCTTCGAAACTTCACGTGGCCTCAAGGTGCGTCTAGTCTGGCACAAGCGGCGTGATGACATCGCCGCCACGTAGTGGCAAACAACAATTGTTGTTGTTCTTGTTCTCGTTGCGTGTGCGTGTGCACGCGCGCGTGTGCATGTGCACGCGTGTGCGTACCTGCTGCGAGTCCCGCGCGTGCTCCAGGATCTCCTCAAACTCCTGGTACTCTTCGTCGTCCGGCTCGGACCCAGACAACCGCGCCGCCCGCGCCATGAAGTACGGCGGCAACTCCCCGATAGCCGTGCCAGCGCCCTGTAGCCATGCACGGCCGCAGGCGCGCGTGGGTTAGCACGTGGGTTAGCGCGTGGGTTAGCACGTGGGTTAGCACGTGGGTTAGCGCGTGGGTTAGCGCGTGGGTTAGCGCGTGGGTTAGCACGTGGGTTAGCACGTGGGGTTAGCACGTGGGTTAGCACGTGGGTTAGCACGTGGGTTAGCGCGTGGGTTAGCGCGTGGGTTAGCGCGTGGGTTAGCGCGTGGGTTAGCGCGTGGGTTAGCGCGTGGGTTAGCACGTGGGTTAGCACGTGGGTTAGCGCGTGCGCACGCTGTGAGGAGCCATAGCGTGCGAGGTGCAGCCGCAAAGAGAGAAAAAATAAAACTTCTTGGTGCAACAACGGCGGTGCAGTCAGTTTTGCTCGGCGGATTGCTCCACACGCGCTATGGTCACAGGCAACGGTATCCCATTATTTTAACACATTTCATCATCAGCAGCAGCAGCAGCCATGATTTATACACAAAATAAAATCAATGTAATCAATGAGGTTTGCAGTTCGAGCCCGGAGACTGTCCTGGTTAATACTTTGGGTTTATTAACGACGTCATTCGTCATAGGGCATACCATGTGTGTGCTGGTGGATTCAATTATCCAAATTCGAAACTTGCAAAATTAATTCATTGGGAAAAACCACAAAGCAATACGGCCCCCCTAATACGTATTTTCAAGGCAGGTGCTGCGTTCACCTTGCGCCGCACAGAGACAGCTGCCACTCGGGGTCCCATTTGGTGGCAACTGCAGCAGGGCGCATGAAATGGTTGAGATGAGGCGTGATGTTAAGTTGTTTCGATGATGGCTTTCGGGCTGTTGGTGCGAACCATACCCACATGCAGGCCTCCAGCCTGACTTTGGACATGATGGTCCAGATGGAGATGGGCACGTTGAGTCCTTCGCTCTCTGGGCAAATGATCTCGTCGGGGTACGGAGGCGCGGGGAAGTCCACCGAGTCGCACTCGTACGCCGACAGCGTCACCGACGCGATGTGGGGGCCCTGGCGGGGGTGGGGTGCAGAGGCGGGGGCGGGGAGCGGATCGCGTGAATAAAAACTCAACAACCAGGTTAGACGCCAGCGAGAAGGGTTCAGCGGCATCTTGCAAATGGCAGCCGGCAAGCCATGTTTGGCCTGGCGAATGCTCCTGGCAGTTGCCTTGCGAGAGATACGGCCAGCCGAGACAGAGAGATCGAGATTATAGGCAGATGAAAGAGAGAAGGAAACAAGCGGCAGAGAAAAGCGGAGCTGTAAACAAGGGATACAAATCATTGAGATCAAAGTGAGATAAAGCAGAGAGAGAGAGAGAGATGAGAGAGAGTTGGCCGTAATTCTCAGGCGCCTGTAAGAACTGCGAGGACACGATTTAGGCAAGTGGATATGGAGATGGTGACGGGACATCGCTGGGGACCCCTCACCAGGTACAGCAGGAAGGTGTGCAGCCCCGTGCCCAGCCCGACCGACGATAAGATGCCCAGGCCGACCCAGTAGGCACACCACAGGATCTTCTTCTCTGTGCTCCGTACGAACTGCGAGCACGTCCCACATAACACGGCACATGAGTGAGCACTCTTCATACCACACGGCGCACGCATCCGCTTGGCGCTTAACACGGTATAGTATGCAAACGCTTAACACAACATAGTACGCAAAACAGTAACGCACCACAACACAGGCATACGTTTGTAAAAGCAACAGCAGCTAGAAAACAGTGATAGCTGTTAATACAGAAAAGAGACTGTTGGCTGACAACAATTACTAAGAAACTGCATTGCACAGTTAGAAAATACTCGAGGGTTTTCAAAATCCATCCACAAACCTGGCACAAGGTGATCCTCACGCATGGACCGTTCCACAACTTATTATGATTGCATGTCATTTGTTAAGGCCGAGATGCCACTAAACATGTTTTACGGCAATTATTGCCGTCAATGCATTTAAAATGAGCCACTACGCCAACTTGGTATGGAGTTTTGTAGCCCAGGGTTCGGCAACCAAAATAACAAAAATAACCATTTAACTAAATATCTCAAGAGCCGCAACGTATGTGAATGCGAGGCGGTTCTTAATAAATAACGTCTCTAAGCAGTCCCTTTTATGAGCCACATGCGGTTCCGGAGCTGCAGGTTGCCGACGCCTAGTATAGCCAATTAAAGCAGTTTTTTGGATGAACAATGATTGGTCTACAGAGCACAGAGCCTCCGTCTGGTAGTGTTGTGCCATCGGTTTGTCATCTCATTGGAAGGCAACCACCTCCGTTGCCCACTAGGGGGATGCGCGATGAGATTTACCCAGGTTTGGTAAAATCAACAGCGCCTATTGACAGTAGAGCAACTGCTGATGGGTGAAGATTTCTGGAGACGATTGTCATACAATTGCCAGAGAGAACATCAATGCCCTTTGAGATGCTCCGGTGGATGCGGGGAAGCCTCACCTCCTGGTGCTCCCCCTCGGCATAGTAAGCAGCAGTAAGAGCAGCGAGCATCAACAGGAAGAGCGTTACAACACCTCTCCGTGCCCACAGCCTGCCACACCACGCACACACAAAGACAAAGACGCCCCCCCACACACCCGCATAGCTTGTAACAGATTATTTGGGAAAGTTCCGTTAGCGAGCACCTATGAAGGCCAGCACGGCACAAGAGAGGATGGGTGGCCAGCAGCACACATTTACATCCACATACCCACCATGTTGGGATGGTTTAAGGGGGTGGTGGTGGAAGACAGTAATCTTTGCATATTGCACTAGGTACGCATTTAAGGGTGAGTCGACCGAGGCGAGGCCCAGGATCAGCACATATATTTGCCACTGCTATTGGGCGTGAGCGGGATTTGAACTTGGCTTGCCGGGCCGAAAGTGCGGTGAACGTCAATGGAGAGTGATATTTAAACTGGTCCTGGTCACCCCCTCCCGCAACATCCCCAATTACCAAAATTACATGGGGAGACCTACATCCAGCAGTGGATTGACAAAGGGATACAAATAATGTGCGAGTTTTTTGCTATTTAAATAATGATTAATTTGAACGATGTAGCGAATCGAAGTTTATTATAAGTGCAAATCATTGTAAGCATCGGGATGATGTTTAAGGCCACGGATCGTTACATCCTGAGCTGCAACCACTCATCGCCGCCACCACGACCACCTCCAAACAAGAGGCAAGATCGCAGGGGAAAAAAGATCACACGTCAGTGGGGGTGGTGGTGCTCACCGACTGGCCCACTTGCACGTCTCCAGACCGCACTCGAGCACGAAGTATTTAATGGTTGTGAACGGCCGCCTCCACAGCACCAGCCCGTCCCGCTCCTTGCGATCGCGCGCGCGCTGCTCCTGCACGGCGCGCTGCTCGGCCACTGCGCACGCAGACACCGCCCAAGATGCTCCAAGTCAGCGTGAGTGTTTTAACCCGATGGAGGGGGAGGGGGGGTTAATTGATCCCAAAATAAATCTCTGCTGGGTTGCCAACAACTAATTGTGGGCTCCCTGCTGGGTTTCTGATGAGTGCGAGATGATGGCATTTTGGACATCAGAATCAGAATATTAATTTTTTTTACTGGAGGAATCTGATGAGAAATAAAGCTCCTTTTCAAAGATGTCCAATAGGGGCAGGTCAGAAAGTTACAACAAATTATGCAAAAACACGACAGGAGTGCAAATTACAGGCAAGGTAAACAAATAACTTTAAGATATGCACCCAAATAAAACTAAACTAGTTTTTTTCTTGTTAGGCAAGGTCCACTGAAACTTTAGCTTCTATATTCTTGGTTCTTTCGGTAAAGTCACGTTGAAGGGAAACAATAATATTAAAAATATATATAAAACAATAAAATTCTCACGACGTTTCGACTGCAACACAAGCAGTCATCATCAGGTGTGAAAACCAACGGCAAGAACATTTGAAAGAAGTGGCGGTATGTGTTTATTTAGTTATTTTTAAATAAACGTTTAAAAATAAATAAATACAAACCGCCACTTCTTTCAAATGTTCTTGCCGTTGGTTTTCACACCTGATGATGACTGCTTGTGTTGCAGTCGAAACGTCGTGAGAATTTTATTGTTTTATATATATTTTTAATTTTATTGTTTCCCTTCAACGTGACTTTACCGAAAGAACCAAGAATATGAATCACTGCAGTCACGAAAGCATTAAATAAAAACTTTAGCTTCTATTTCAGAAGCGACCTGGCCACAGAAGAGAGCTCAACGAAGTGACTTATCACGTGAAAATCCACAGCATAAAAATAATCTAGACACATGTTTCTAAATGTGGAGGGGAAAACCGGAAGACCGGTGACTGGCACCAGCGTTGCGTAGATCGGCCTCTGTGGAGGAGGTTTGCGAAGGATGCTACTGGGCAGTCGGAGGCAGTCGCCCTCCAATGACAACAGAGGGCAGAGTGATGCCCAGAGTGTAAAGATGAAAGGTAAGCACACGGAGGACGTGACCCATGTGAGCGAGTGATGGAGCGAGGAGCACCTGCGGAAAAGCCGTTACGTGATTGCGACGTTCCAGAGAGCGTCCTTCTCCTCTGGGTCTCACCGGCACCTCCACCCGATGCCATCTCTGCAATCTCTCGAGGGTGAGCTGGGACAACCCGAGCTCAAGAGCCTCTTCCCTGCGGCAGACACGGCACACGAAGGATGTAGCTATTTAAAACAAAATGCCCACTCGTAATTTGGCCGCGCAACTTGCTTTTGCGCCAAACCACAGATTCTGGCAGGGCTGCGTGTGTAGGCACAAAGTCCGCAATGGGGTGGTGAGGTTCACGATGCTAACCCAACAAACCAAAGTGCAGTGCTGTCACCGGTCACGCAGCGTGTGTGGTGTGCGTGTGGAGGATTTCACTTTGCAAGCACATTTGTTATCCACACCTAAAATATAACAGTCCTCCGTGTGTTAATTAATGTTTCACAATCACGGCTGCATGAGCTCTTACAAAAACCATGTGCAGTTTATACAAGCGTGCTTACAGTGAGGGTTGATGCTCTGATGCATGAGGGTTTCCCATACCGTGCGAGTTATGGGGGTTATTTTCACGATACATTATTACACTTGTCAGTGCGGGTGTGTGAAAACAGGGAGCATAGAGTAGAATATATGATGTGTTAAACTGCCCATCACATAAAGTGATAGCAGCCCATAACGTGCTGTGCACGATGGTCCCCATCAAAGCACTATCCAGGCTCAAACCTGCTTAGCTCCCAATATCTAATGGAAGCAGGCACATTCTAGCTGATTTGGTCCAGACTATACGTGAATGGATCTACACAGAAATACATTAACATTCACCGAGCAACTGCCCAACAGTGGATTGGGTAAATGAGTGTCTTATGACAGTAACACTGTATGTTAGCAGTGTGTCGATAAGTTTGCGACTTTTTGAAAAGAGGTAGAACTCGTTTAAAAGAAAACATCCATCAAGCTCAACAGCACAAAGCCTTTTCACTCAACTTGTTATATAACCGGCCTACGCATACCAGGATCGGCCCTTCGACACGCAAAGTGAAACTGGTCAGTTCCGCCACTTGCCAAGACATGCCGAGTGGACGGAAGTGTGGTGGTCGCACATAACTCCCTCGGGATATAAGGAGGCCACCATTCCAGAAAAAGCTCTACCCCTAAAGTTGGCACAGTGTTCGCTCTTCTAGCAAATTAAGAGTCCAGAGTAACAGGAGCTCCCCACCTCACATGACAGTTCCGTTCCCAGATTAACTCTCACTTGCCGATCAGCTGACCAGAAACACCCATAAGTTTCACAACATCCCAAAGTGGAGGCTCCCTAACACTCCCAACTATCCCACTCGTATAATTACGGTACAACGCCCTTATTGAAACATTATTGTACAATGGTGCTATAGCACAGTTTCCTATGTTTGGGAGACCTAATCTGCCCAAAATTTGTATGACCTTTTAAAATAATTTTAAGTATAATAATATGCGGAAGGTGATTTATAGACAGCAAAAGACATAATCAATTGATTGGTTCTCCCATAACGCCTGAACATGATCTCACCTTCGGATTTGCAACCTGGATGCACTTTTTGGTTTGAGGAGTTTGTCACCTTCATAGAAAGCATTACAATGGGTTTACTTTCAATCACTTTGTCTTCCTGTCAACGAAACAGTGCTTCCTTCTTGAGCGAGTTGACATGGGTTCAATTCGTTGTGCCAGCCAATAACCACCCACAGCAAGTTACAAAAGTGTGCGTTCTGTTGTGAAGACGATGTTAGAAGATCCTGCGACATCCCTTTTCTATACCACAGCCCAAATCTCACAAATTAAAAAAAACCCCGTAATAACTAACTATACAACCACGGTTACAGAGGTCCTACGTGTTCGAAAAGTAATGATTTTAGTGAGCCTGTTTCAATTTCCCCAGATCAATAGTCGGTACAGCAATGATGACAAGGAGATATGTCATCGAAGCAGCATCACCACTTAAAAAGCGCAGATGTGACCCCTCCAGCCGTGTTCCTCAGCCTCCTTGGCACTCGAGACAAGAGCTCTACCACAACCATATCCGCATTATATCTTCGCCGATTCAAGCCTTCCCCCGTCTCATCTCATCGCAGCAACCAAGTCTGGTTCACCCCAGGAAACTGGTCTCCTCCTTGATTGGAGTCAACTGTGGGATGGAATTGAGGAGAAAACAGCAGCTTCCAGGGTCCTTCGGCCAGAACTGGGGTCAATTACAATGGTAATTGTGTTATTCATAATGTGTTGCAATCACGGTCTCATTTTTATTTCATCTCACAATGCTGTTGCATTTGCAATTACGAAAATTAACCCAAGTCTGACACAAGCGTTAAGAAAAAGCATGGAGTCACCACCAGCGAATGTCAGCATCAGTCTATCTGGGGCTCCACTAGCCCAGAGAGACCAACTAAGCTGGTTGAACTCTTGATTGTAGATGAACTAAAGAGCCCAGGGCTCAACCAGCCGAGCTGCAGGTAAATCACCCTAAATGGGCCTGACCTTGTTAAATGTCAGAAACTAAAGAGGGTTGAGCCTGGCTATTGCTTAGGATGGGAGACTAACTGGGAATATCAGGTGTAGATTTGGGCCGTGAAGAGACCAGAATCTGGAAGTAGATCAATGGATTGTTGAATCTATTTGTGCAGATCCTAGAGCATTATCTCCTCGTATGTGTTTATTTTTCACACTCAATAAGTTGAACCGGTTAAACATTCGAGTGGAAGACCCTCCTGAAAGACAAGTCTTCAAACTCAGTTGGGCTCTCCTGATAATTTTACTGAAAAGATTTCGGGAAACCACTATCTCGGAGCAATCACTTGCCCTTGTGAATAAACCAAATGCACTGTTAGAACAACAGCCTTGATGACCTCCCAGAATCCCCCACCAGGTAAATCTCACAAGTGTATTCCTTTGGATTCCAATTAAGCAAATTCAGAATATTCATTTGTACCTGAGTCATCCGATGAGTTTTAAAGCTCCTTTTCACAGACGTCCAGTAGGGGGGGGGGGTGTCTGACACGAGGTTTGACACTTCGTTTAGAAGAACGGTCAAGATCAATCCACTGCTGAATGGGTCGTCCCAGAAGCCATCGCCATCCCAAAATCAACGTGGATGTCACCGCTCCATATCCACCGTCGCCATCCCAAAATCAACGTGGATGTCACCGCTCCATGTACACCGTCGCCATCCCAAAATCAACGTGGATGTCACCGCTCCATATCCACCGTCGACGTCTCCAATTGGACGCGCGCCATCCCCCTTGGCTGTCGCGGTGTCAATTCCTGACGACCGGCTATTAGGCATAGCTTGAACAACACAGGCTATGCCTAATAATTATTCATAATTAATAATTATTCATAATTAATAATTATTAGGCACATAATTGTAATGTATAATGGCTTATTGTTAGTAGCTCAGCTGATTGGAGAGTATATTGAGTTTATTGACAATATTGATGTAATTTATATTTTAGGTTTTTTTTTTATCAGTTTACTAGATGGTATTCATTATATAGTGTAGTGTATACCCAGTTACTTTATGTTAATAGCTCAGCTTATTGGAGAATATATTGAGTACATTGATTATATTGATGTAGTTTATATTTAGTTATTTCACATCGGTTTATTGTATGATAGTTGGGTAGTTGCAGTTATTTAGCGTCAATATACTAAATGCCTCTGTTGATATGTAAACTCTGACTTTAACAGAGCTACTTCCGTGACCAGTTACATGCTAATCTCTCACACTAACATCATGCTAATCTCCCAGTTACATGCTAATTTCTGACCTTAATATCCTGCTAATCTCTCACATTAACACAGCTACTTCAATGCTAAATTCTTCTGTTGATATGTAAACTCCTTTGTCAAGGCGCTCTGCTCCTCCCACCCAGCTTAAAAGACGCTGCCAAGCTTGGCAGTGTTCACTGGAGCACTGTCTTCCCGACAGTTCTGTTTCTTCACCTGAGGAAGGCTACTTGTGTTGTGGCCGAAACGTCGTGAGAATTTTATTTTATTATGTTTTATTTTTATTATTTCCCTTCTACGTGACTTTACCGAAAGAACCAAGAATATATGCATATAGCCTGTGACGTTCAAGCCGACTTTCCTCATGCGTTTGAATTAATAAACTTAACCTTCATATACGGATATATATTTTTTTCTAATTCACGAGTTAAGTCTTCCCCGTCTCATACATTCATTTACACAGAAAGTCGTGTGCCGTATCCCTGCAATTATAAAACGCTCCGGCAAGTAAAATGCACCGGTGACAATAGTTGCAACAGTGGAGTCGCACACACACACGCATACACCCAACGAATTATAAAACGCACCTCCCCCACCTCCCCCCGTGTAAACTTTAAAACACGGTGAGAACAAGCGCGTCTAACAATCCGTAGAGACGGTAACATCATCACATCAAGTCACAGCGTGCCCACCGCAGCGGACACACCGACGGGGTTATTGAGAGACAGACTCGTCTCATACTCACTCGGTTGCTCTCTCTCTCTCCCTCTCCTCCTCGCTCCTCTTTCTCTCTCGTCTGCTGTACGAGGAAGATGCCAAAGGAGACAAGAGCGATGAGGAGGTGAGGGGGTAGTTTAAAGGAAGAAGCGAGGAGGCTTCTACGGCCACCACTCGGCTCGGAGTCTCCCGGCTCCGCTTCCACCCCCCACCCCCGCCGCCGGTTTGCCGGACGTGGCGTGACCGGAAACGAAGCTGGCGCGAGCGAGAAACCTAACTGGACGTGACGTGGAGGGACGACGAGGTGAGCCGCCGGACGTGGCGGGAAATTTTTTGGGGGGGGGTGGGCAGACGAAGGGGTGTGTGGGGGAGGGGTTGTGAGGGGGAGGGAGGGAGGGTTTGTGGGGTGAGCGGACGTGACGTAACAATTAGAGCCGTCGAATCTGGCGGGAAATACCTGGAGGCAGACGAGGGGTGCGGTGGGGAGGGAGGGAGGGGTCGTGGGGAGGGAGAGGTCGTCGGGAGGGAGGGGTCGTGGGGAGGGAGGGGTCGTGGGGAGGGAGGGGTCGTGGGGAGGGAGGGGTCGTGGGGAAGGAGGGGTTGTGGGGAGTGGGGGGAAGGGGTTGTGGGGAGTGGGAGGAGGGGTTGTGGGGAGGGAGGGGTTGTGGGGAGTGGGAGGAGGGGTTGTGGGGAGGGAGGGGTTGTGGGGAGCGGAGGGAGGGGTTGTGGGGAGGGAGGGGTTGTGGGGAGTGGGAGGAGGGGTTGTGGGGAGGGAGGGGTTGTGGGGAGCGGAGGGAGGGGTTGTGGGGAGGGAGGGGTTGTGGGGAGTGGGAGGAGGGGTTGTGGGGAGGGAGGGGTTGTGGGGAGCGGAGGGAGGGGTTGTGGGGAGGGAGGGGTTGTGGGGAGTGGGAGGAGGGGTTGTGGGGAGTGGGGGGAGGGGTTGTGGGGAGTGGGAGGAGGGGTTGTGGGGAGTGGGAGGAGGGGTTGTGGGGAGCGGAGGGGTTGTGGGGGGAGGGGTTGTGTGGAGTGGGGGGAGGGGTTGTGGGGAGTGGGGGGAGGGGTTATGGGGTGAGCTGACGTGACGTAACGACGAGAGGCGCCGGACCTGGCGGGAAATGTCTGGAGGCAGACGAGGGGGCGGGGTTAGTGGGGGGGGCGGGGTTAGTGGGGAGTGCGGGTGGTGTGAGCGGACGTGACGTAACCAATGATCAGAAATTTTTACTTAAAACTTTCGTGACTCCAAGAATTCATGTTCTTTGGTTCTTTCGGTAAAGTCACGTAGAAAGAAACAATAAAAAATAAAGTAAATAAAAATAAGAAAATGAAAACAATAATAAAACACTAATGTAGACTGTTGCCTGGTTCTAAATCGGAGTGAGTGTACTGGCAGTCTATAATGTAGACTGTAGCCTAGTTATTAAGTTTGGTGAGTGTACTGACAGTCTATAATGTAGACTGTAGCTTGGTTATTAAGCAGAGTGAGTGTACTGACAGTCTATAATGTAGACTGTCGCAATGGTTATTAAGCTGGGTGAATGTACTGACAGTCTATAATGTAGACTGTAGCCTGGTTATTAAGTTTGGTGAGTGTACTGACAGTCTATAATGTAGACTGTCCAATGGTTATTAAGCTGAGTGAATGTACTGACAGTCTATAATGTAGACTGTAGCCTGGTTATTAAGTTTGGTGAGTGTACTGACAGTCTATAATGTAGACTGTAGTAATGGTTATTAAGCTGAGTGAGTGTACTGGCAGTCTATAATGTAGACTGTAGCCTGGTTATTAAGCTGAGTGAGTGTACTGGCAGTCTATAATGTGCGGTGGAGGAGGGGCCCAATGAAGGGCCATTTCCCGAAACGTCGCCTATTATTAAAATATACATTTGAAGGCCATTGTGTTATTGCTGACGAACGTGTTGAGTTTTGTTCAGTATGCTTGTGCATTATTGCCAATGCAGCAGCATCTGATATCTTCTATACAAAGACCTTAATCTGTATGTACGTGTCACAAACCTACAGGGTATTTCCCGACAAGGTAGAAAGCTGAAATGTGGTACATTGATAGCTATTAGCACACAAACAACAGGACACAAATCTGATAATTTTTCATTTTAAGGCCCGCAAATCTCGATTTTAATTGCCCCATAAACATGTTTGTGCGTGTCATTCAGAAACCGCTCAAACTTAAGATTGCGGGTTTTTTCGTTTGATAGAGCGTTAAACAGCAAATAAAATTAAAGCGAGAACCATTCTATATTTCATTGTTTTTTAAAAGATATTCCTGATTCAAGCGGGTTTGAACGAAGAAAATACACATTTTATGATGTTCAAATCTGATTAATTCACAGAGTATTAAGTTCATTATTTTTTGTTCTTTCTAATAAAAAAAAGAACGGAATCTTTAAATTGAGCGGATTTCGATGGGTACGTCGTTAAATATAACAAGTTTAATCAAGTCAACAATTTGTGGGTTTTTTTTAGGAAAAATGCATTTTTTTAGTACGGTAGTTGTTAGTGTCTGATCGTCGATATAATTGTACAAAAAATAATGTTCATTATTACATTTACTGAAAAAAATTCCTGGCGAAGACAGGCTTTATGAACTAGTAGATATATATTTTTTGTATATATAAAAGCTTCCTCTACGCTCAGCGCTTTTCCCTCACTTTTCTACCTTGAATCCTTTGTTTTGGGGATTGTTTGTGTGCTTTCTACAAGTGCTTTGTGACCTCCTGGTGTCAATTATTATTCTTATCTCATCTCAATACGAATTGACTTAAGTTGGGACATTGTATCGTCCGTCTCGTGTTGGCTCTTTAATTGTCGGTCTCGCTTTCATCTCGTAATGTATACTCATCTCAAACGTATTGTTTATGCCCCGTTTCATTTCGTGTTTTCCAGTTGCGTTTATCATCAGTGCTCTGTCTTTCCTGTAATGTATAGCCCATTGTATTGCGTCTCCTTTGGACACTGTCAGGTTCTTTCAAAACACGAGTCAAATAGAGAAAACAACTTGTCAAATCGGATTGGTAAAATATGAAATTCTTTCGCGCGCGATTCAATGCCAGACGAGAAGTTGTTCCTCTTTTTAGAAACCACTGTCCGCCTGTTCGTTCGGTTATTTCTCTAAATGACTGTCGATGGATTACTTGCCGGAGCATAGCTTACAATAATCACGGGTGGGGAACGTCAGGCCCGAGAAATAATTTGGGTCTCTGGGCCTGCCAAGGCAACCGCAGGCGGGACTCGAAATTCAATAAATCTAGGAGCAAACCTGGAAAAGCAGTTGCGAGTAGTAACAACATCGTCAATACCAGCTAACATCATCAATACCAGCTAACATCATCAATATCAGCTAACATCATTAATACCAGCTAACATCGTCAATACCAGCTAACATCATCAATACCAGCTAACATCATCAATACCAGCTAACATCAGCAATACCAGCTAACATCAGCAATACCAGCTAACATCATCAATACCAGCTAACATCGTCAATACCAGCTAACATTATCAATACCAGCTAACATTATTAATACCAGCTAACATCATCAATATCAGCTAACATCAGCAATACAAGCTAACATCAGGAATACCAGCTAACCTCATCAATACCAGCTAACATCAGCAATACCAGCTAACATCATCAATACCAGCTAACATCAGCAATACCAGCTAACATCATCAATACCAGCTAACATCATCAATACCAGCTAACATCATCAATACCAGCTAACATCATCAATACCAGCTAACATCATCAATACCAGCTAACATCATCAATACCAGCTAACATCATCACACGCCTCGCCAAAGAGAAGCAGTTCCGGCCAATGACATTAGGGGTGAGTTAATGAAATGTTTGACCAAATATAACAGGCAAATTTTTAAGTTGATCATTTTTTCGTATGGCCCGCGAATGATGTTATATAAATATCCAAATGGCCCTTGGCAGAAAAAAAAGGTTCCCCACCACTGGCTTACAGGGCCACGGGCATTGTCGATGATTCAAGGACCAAAACATTGCATAATATTTCTCACCGAAGGATTGGGCAAGCCACGCGTTCCCGAAAAAGACGAACAAACCGACACGACGTTAGGGGCCGTCCATAAATGACGTCACGCACCTAGGGGGGGGGGGGGTCAGACATTTGTAACGATGCGTGACGAGAGGGGGGGAGGGGGTGGTTTGAGAGATGTGACGTCAAATCAAAATGCGCAACTTTAAATATAGACAACACGTTCTGCTTAATTAAATAGACTTTTTTAATAAATGTTTTCTCCTACAACATCAGCGCCACGTTAGGTACGCACTACAATGACAATAGTAGTTTAAAGCGTCATATTTGAGGGGGGGTTTGACTTTTTGTGACGCCGTGTGACGAGGGGGGGGGGGGGGTCAAAAATCGTCCAAAATCGCGTGACGTCATTTTATGGTCGGCCCCTTATTCATTCTCACGTCCACGTTGTTATGCCAGTGGCCTGAGTTCTCATCCTGCCCACAGCTAATGTCAGTGACCAAGTGACATCTGAACCTGCCTTAGGCTCCAGCCTGCACCATTCGGTCACGGGGGGCAGCAATCTGCAGTTTCGTAGCCGCTTGCGGCTCTTTCGAGGACTTTGGGGCCGTCCATAAATGACGTCACGCGATTTTGGACGATTTTTGACCCCCCCCCCGTCACACGACGTCACAAAAAGTCAGACCCCCCCCCCTCAAATATGACGTCACAAAGCTCTGCCCCCCCCCCCAACCATATTTCCATTTTGAAAATAAAACATGCTTCAAATCGCTTTAAACTATTGTCATTGTTGCGCGTATTTAATGTGGCGCTGCACTCTGATGTTGTAGGAGTGTTGTTATAACAATGAGTGTTGTTATAACAATTCTATATTTATTCAAAGTTGCGCATTTTGATGTGACGTCACATTTCCCAACCCCCCCCCCCTCGTCACACATCGTCACAAATGTCTGACGCCACCCCCCCTCCCCTCCTAGGTGCGTGACGTCATTTATGGACGGCCACTTTCTTCGTGACCTTATTCGCATTGCATTTCGGCTCGACATAGGAGGAATGTTGTTGTTGTTGTACCGAATTCGAACAAAAAATTATCTTGTTATTTTGGTTGTCGATCTCTGACCATTCCGCACTCGTCAAGTATGGCCAACCTCCAGCAGCGGATTTGCAAAAGAAGACTGGTGTCGCCCACGATTTCTGGAGTCTGGAGCGTTGGTGGCAGCGGTGTATTCAAGAGCTAAAACGCCGATGTCGAGATGTGGTCGCCACGATGAGAGGCCTTCAGGAGAAACGTCG